ACTACCTGGACAAGTCTTGCAGCACTTTCCCACTGATTTCATAGGATGTTGGCATGGGTACTGGCTGGGACATGTGATGCGTTTGCAGTCCTGGAGACCATCAGTACAAGTGCACAGGATGCATTCCAGGACCTTCCTCAAAACTGGGTGCCACATGTCTCCATGAGAGTATGTCTTGCCATTGTATAAACAGGCTGAGAGAAATGGAAAACATCTGATCTTTGTGATTCATATGGAAACAATCGTAAAAGTTGTGAGGAAGATGTCCATAAAATCAAACACCTATAAAGGATCTTTCTGTTTTGACAAAGTCTCACCTTTTTGGTGTTTCCTCTGCAACAAAATCTTCACAGTGGTCTCTGAAGCCCCTTTGAGGTTAAGTTTACTCAGGTTCAGGCCTCTGGGAGAAGTCCTGACCTTGGGTGGAGTGGCACGGTCAGACCGCGCCTTGTTCGGCTCTCCAGGACATTGGTCGACTGAATGCCTCTGTTGTAAACAAAGATATAATAAAACGCAGTTATCTTTCATCTGTTCAGCTATTGGCTTACCTTCTGTCTTCCCTCAGTAATAGCTGAATAGCATCATATTTAGTCCTAAATCAAAAAAGGTTCACAGCCTGGCTCCAGAACGCTGAGTCACTGCCCACATTTTTTCAGCAATTCAAATAAAACAACATTGCAGTTCAGTCTGATTATCAGGCCAAATGGTCCATAAATCTTGAGGGAAAGTCTTTGTCTTTAATGATCTCAGTAAGATGGATGTTTCAGTGCTAATCTGAATAATGTGATGCCAAGCTGAGCAAATTATTCTGGCAATTCTTAAGGGAAAATAATTGATTTGCTTGTTCCTTTGCACAGGGAGGTCAATGGTCAAGATCAGCTACAGAGCAGCTCCCCTGAAGATTGCACTGATATGTGTCACGTTCAAAGACACTTCATCAGAACAAACACTTGCCTGTAAGACTTGAATTTAAGCCAGGTAACTAAAGTCCAGTTACTCAAACACATCACTTTGCTACCTTCCACTGGATTTAAGTATGTTTTCAAACAGAGGCAAGTTTCATGTTAAAGCAAAGGCTAAGGTAGGCTATGTTATTTTTTATGACAAATCAGCAAGGACATACAACGCCTCTGTTCAGTTGCTGGTTTCCATCCTCAGTTGATGAGGACCCACTGGTGCCATGATCTAAGGGAAAGAAAAGGATGAGGAAATTGTAATTAACACAGAAAATAATGGAAGCCTAAGTTCATTTATATTAGTGCTGGGCCATAATTTAATAATATCTCATATCGACCTTTAGAGGAATTGTATAATGATATGTTTTTTAACATATGGGAATAATTTATCTGATTTATTGCATTATATTTAAACAAAATGTATTGCTTTGAACATTGATTTGATCATTTTAAGTGTAATTTTGTATCTATTTGCATATGGTGATATGTATCAATATCAGAAAAAAAACCTTCTTAGTAATAAGCCTTATCTTCAACCCCGATGTAATAAATAATATTCCAGGTCAGAAACAGAGTAAAGACACTTTCTCAGCTTGGAGCTTGGAGTTTGACTACCTTTACACACCAAACAGCAGGTATCAGGAACTGAGACTGGTGAGGTGCAGGTGATTGATTGGCATGTTTTCAGAGCACAGAAGATGTTTCCATTCTGAGAAAAGAAAGGGAGGGAAAATTTTTTTTGAATTTCCAAATAAGTGCTCCAGAAGGTGAAGTCTCAAGTACTCCAGTGCTTCTGTGGACCTCTCTAGACCTCTTTACTGTTCACATGGACTCATATTTACAGCATATGACTTGAAACAATAGAAACAAAGTCCCAAAAACATAATCGCAGTGTCGTCTGAGAGCTACTCTTCTTGAAATATGAATGCAAAAAACATAATGAGACCTAACTTTTATTTGGCTTTTGTCCAGAGTAAATTACATTTTCTTTCTCCACACACAGACACACTCATACACCAGCAGAGGCAGAGGTGCTGTAACGGTGTGGGACAGCTCACTGGAAAGAACTGAGAGCTAAAGGACACTCGAACCAGCAATCCCATGAATAATGGACATCCTGCTCTACTAGCTGAGCCACCTCAGGGCATCTCAAGGCATGTCTTGAAAAACTCATAATCAAAGGAAACTTGTATCAAGGTAATATGCAAAGCCATGAGCATGTTGCATTGGAATCAAGGCCTGAGGAGAAACTGCTCGAACAGTGAGAATGCAACAAGTTACAACTGTCTAAGAGACAAATGAAAGTGTAAAGATAAACACAATTTGTACTGTTCTAAAATGTATACTAGGAAATTCATTTTGATGAGTTTATTGTTATGTGTTGTCTCCTTGGAGACTTAGAAACATCTGTTAATGAACACCACTTAACAACTCATAAAATTAACTTGACAACGCCAGGGTGATTTCAATTTTGGCTTCTCTTCCCATTTCATCTTCATTATCTGCCTTTTGTTTTCTAAATTAAAACCTTCATCCAGTCTCTTGTGCCAATCACAAACAAGCTAAGCCAACACACAAACCAAAGCAAGATGCTTTCACCAGAGTATTCAGAATTAATTGAAATTCAACAATGCATTTCCACTTTGATTGCATATCATTAGCAGCAGGAAGTTAGCAGGCAGAGATACTCCTCATGCATATGCAGTGACCTTATTAGCGATGCCAACATGGGATGCAATAAACACACATACACATGCACACAAAATTAATTTTAGAAAAATCTTTAAATGCACATGTGGCCTTTAGTTGATGGTAGAGCTGTGGTATTCATTATTTAAAGATGGGCATAAACACAAGTTTCCTAATTGTCAGACAGACACTGTGTCATTAAAGTTTTTCATTTCATAAACACCTAGTAATTAAAAGCTGATTTTTTTTTTGTCACCCATTTTAAGCTGTGATGGAATAAGGTGTCCCAATCAAACGAGGATTATGAGGAATTCATGAATATTCAGTGGGAAAACATTTGATTGAAAACAGTTACTAGTGGCAAGGACTGAGAATTTGTAATATATTTTTTAAGATTAAGATGTAATTCTGCTATTATTCCATTCCTTTTCCTTGTATTTTATTTTAACATTACATATTTACATGATAAATTTGCTTTGAGAACAAATTCCGCAGGGCTACAATCATAGACCTTGCATGTCCTACCCTATCCACTCTATGCATTTGGCATATGATATTCTTTCACCAGAGCAACAAAAACAAAAGCAGTAAATGATCTGTAACTTACAGAGCATGTGCACATAACACACTGATTGCTTTGCTTGGATGGGAAGAAGTCATGCTTAGTGAAGGTCTCCCCTGGCTGATAAATGCTTCCATTATACCTGCAGGATTTCACTGAGGCTCTCAGCCCTGCAGGGATCCTGGGCTCATCTGAGAGAGGACACATCACACAGGACAGGAGGCTTTGAAGTCACAACCAGAAATGATTCTCTCAAAAGCTCAGAGCTGGTGAGGAGGTGATTGGAGAAAGAGAGTCTACCTGTGCATCTTGGACAACACTGTTGAGGCTCAGCCACGGGGTTTTCACATGGCAGAGCGGGGCACTTGATCGTGCTACATTTCACATGGCCTGTCTAAGAGAGAGCAGTATTAAGACTTTACAAGCATGGGTCACTTTTAAAACCCCAGCCGCTATCATGGCAGCGGCTCAGAGCAGAGACAGCTGAACAGTTTTTGGTGTAATAATCCTTTAGGTACTCTGAAGTGATACGGGTTTGTAAGATATTAACAGTTACCTCTGTGCAGACACAGCGCATGCAGAACATAAATCCGAAGGGCTCCAGATAGGGATGCCAGCTGTCTCCTGGGCTGTATGTCTTGTCTTTGAAAGTACATACCACCCCGGACCCTGGGTGTTAAAAAAAAAAAAAAGAGACAGATGAGCCATTGGGAAAACCATATGGCGCAGATAAACTGAACGGGAATAAAACATTTACATGTGAACTAATATAAACATTTGTCAAAGCGACAATCAGCTCCAAGTAATGCAAACTAGAGGAGAACACGGGAAACTACAAATGCCAGTGATCCCATTTCAGCCCATAACTATCCAGACAAAAAGATTGAACTTTCAGTGGCTTCTGTGACAGAATGAGGTGAATAACTTACACCACAAAACACCAAAGTAATGTTTACAGCAGGAGAGGATGTTGGTCTTAAAATATGAGATCAGTTTTGGCGGAGTCCGACAAACTTTTCCTTAACTTGAGTCACATTTTCACGCTTTTCCTTATTTTAAGCACCACACGTTAGATCAGGACACAATAAGCATCAGCAGGGTCTGGTCTTACCTTTCCGGGGTTTTAGTTCTGCATCTGCAAACCAAATGATGAAAAAGAGCAAAAGCATGGACTTCATTTTTTACATGTGCGTGACTGAGTCTTCAACGCGCAATAAATATGTTTCTGCAGGACAGAAACTACAGGACAGTGTGAAGCAGGGATAAAAAAAAAAAAGAAAAAAAGAAAGAAAAAAAAATGCAACATTTTTTTCTTAGTTAATCTCTGGCGCCTCCTTCAGGACAGAACTCTAATGAACTGGAGGGATAGGAGAGTGAACGCATGACCTTAAAATAGATGAGACAAGGAGTGACCACATAAAACCCACAAATGCACCTTAACGCACATAACACAACATTTTGTCTGCTGGTCCCCTAAAACGATTAGACTGGCTGCCATTTTGTTGAATACACAACTGCGTATAATCCATATACTTTATATATGCAGATAACCAGTGAGTGCACAAAGCAGTCATTGTGCCATCTCATATTACATTTGGTGATAGTGAAATCACTGCTGAATAATGCTAATGCTGATTCAACTCTATGGTTATGTTTGAGCTTGTATTTCATGTTGTTGCATTGGATTAAGTTAGATTGTGTTCTTGTTATGTTATTTTGCCCTTGTAGTCAACAGCAAAAATCTAAAATGCAGATTTGGCTTTGCAGAAATGAAGGCAACACACAGGCAGCGGTCTAATACTGTTCTCCATTTATTAACACACAGGGGGGGAATAAAACAGTGCAACCATGTTAAAAGACATCAAGATGCCAATAAACTTTTACTTAAAAGACATGAAAAAAAGACAGAGAATAAAACGTAGTGACCCATATCTCAAAAAGGAGTCTGGCAATCCCACTCTCTACTATGATCCTTATTGCAAGCCGTTGCATGACTTAACAATAAAGCATTCGACTAGGAGTAAACAGTTTAATTCACAGTCAGTGCAGATGTATAGAAACAAAGAAAATCTTAGACATAATCACAGATTACTAAAATCCACAAAACAGCATTTTCTAAAACAGGGTTCCTCTAATGACAGAGGAAATGGCATGCTTCCAACTTGACAAAGCTTTCGAACAGGTTGAGATTAAGGGAGGGGGTGGGGGGTGGGGGGGCTGTCACCAAACCAAACCAAAAGCTGGTCAATAGACGGCATTGCTGTTTCCCTTTTAAAAACTGCACTGGATATTTGGAACACTGTCAGTGGGACTTCTCAGCCATGGTTTGACTAAAACCTTGTTTTCAAAACTTTATCTGGCCTGGCCAAAGCTCAAAACTGTAAATATTGATAATGATAAAAATGTCCCTTAGGACTATAAATGTACATCTGCATCAAAAATGCTAGTCACTGCCAAAAAATGTCATTTAAAAATTATGTATGAAGATATTGGGTGTTTTCTATGTAGCTGAACACAGAGACACTTTTTTTTTTTTTTTTTTTAAATCAAAAAGGTTTCTCATACTGTAGAGGTTCCAATCATGTGTGAGAGAAGCTTGATAACTGACAGAAAGTCACTGACATATGTTAAACAAACATGTATAGTAACCCACCGCCAGGATCAGACACAGCTGAGCATCTTCCACTTAACAGGATTTCAGCACAGACTTGGTCAAAGAGTGGCATACACACGAGATTCAATGTCTGTCATATAAGTTAAACTTTTAAATGTCTGAAGTAAAGGATATTGCATTACAGAATGAAGTGTTCAGACAGACACACTAATGCGCCCACACATACACACATACGCACACACACACACACTCACACACTCACACACAACAGTAGATAAAGCAAAAACAGTGCAGACTCAAGAGCTGCTGCTGCTTTGTGCCCCTGTGTCGTCCTCTCGCTTCTGCCGTTTCTTCGCTCTGATTTCATTCATGGCTTCCTCTATAGAGCGAGTGTCCCTCTTGTTGGCCACCGGCACTGGGAGAGAACATTACCAACATAATGAGTAAATAAAAGGTGTGGGGGGGGTCCAAAGCAATGCAGTGTTTCTATGAAACAGTGCAATATTTACTCACCACAGCCATAAGCCCTGTTGGCCTCTAGTGTATGCGCTGCATCTTTTGCGGCTGAGGTGCCGATCAGGTGACTGTACTTGTCTCTGTAGTTGGAATTGGGAGCTTCTGTCTTTTTTGTCTGACTGGATGCTGCCATTTCCAACGCAGCCTGCTCCTGCAGCGACAAAGAGAGGCAGAGTCAGACACTGTGACAGGAATTCTCTTACATTGTCTGAAATGTATTCTTGAAGTTACCTGGCAATTAAATTTAAAAACACATGTTTAGATGAACCTGCTTCTATTTAGGCAAATCCATTAACGTGGGTAAACATCCCTCCTGAGTAGTTAGTGGTACTGTAGCATTAACTGTGTGCTATGCATATAAAATACATGGAAAGACAAACATAAGTTACATCTAGTGCTAAACAAGACACTTTCCAACCAAGACGATGCAAGTCAACGCATTTTACCAAACGCACAACATGTCTTGTGATTGTATTTCTTTACGCTCCACTAGAAGAACTGGTGTCTCTTTTAATGATACTTTTTTTCCCTGTATAACAGTTGAGTGTCTGAACAAAATGGCAGCACTACAGATAAGTGCTTTCACTTTCATTCTTAGACATCAATATACATTTTTATTTTTTATTTTTTAGGTACTTTCTTGTTTGTTCTTTCTTACAAACTCCAATGTACTGTAGGTTTGGATGCTGGAACATTATGAGATATTTATGGTGTAACATAAGTATTTCATGATGCTTATTGACAGGAATGAGAGAAATGCAGCACAACAAACAACAAAATAGAACCAGAGGTTGCTGATTTTATTGTTACACAACACTGTCACCTAGACACACCTAAATACTTGAGTAAATGCAAAGAAAGAGCATCCAGTCTTACTTTTAGTCTTCGCCGCTGCTCTGCCAGCTGGGGATCCCACTCTTCTCCTTTGCGATAGGCTTCCAGCTCTTCATCCGATGGCGCGAACTCCTGCCACAGCCCAAGGTGGAAAACAGTCACATTACTCCACACTGCTTAAGATGAGCCTAGCAAGCTGGCATTTTAATATGTCAAACACTGGATTAAGAAGAATTCAGTTCAGACCTTCTTGAAAAGCATGACATAGCGACTCTCTTCGTCCTCCCCGAAAGAAAAAGAAGTCAGACCAGCCACTTCTGCAACATCGTGTCTACAAGACAGGAAGAAATACAACGTAAATAGTTGTGAACATGTGACAGAAAAAACTGAATTTTCTTATTTTGCTTATATGAAGTACTGACTACTTACAATATACTCCTTTCAATTTTCCCCATAGGGTTGTATTTTCGTTTCTGTTGTGAACTGTCTTGGATGAAATCCGACACTTCTTTCTCCATCTAAACAAGAGATGTAGGAAGCCAAAGTCTGTAATTTTGGATGTGATAAACCCCAACAGTCCAGGCCAGATGAGCTCAGTGCCATAACTAAAGTCAGTGGGCATGTGACACTAAAGTGCTTACCTTTTTCCTGAACTCTGCTTTCTTTCTTTTCTCATCCTCCTCCATCTTCTTGAGTCTCGCTGCTTGCTCTTAAAATTACAGAGGAGGAAGTTTTCATGGGGTTTTGTTTGTGTTTGAAAGCATTCAAAGTTTCCATTGTCAACACAGATCATGCAGTCTTATAGAAACATCCAGCCTAAGGGTGTTTTTAAAGCCAAAAGTCACAACAAGGCTAATCAAGAGAGAGACTTTCTCCAATCCAAAAACCACATTTCCAGATCATTCAGGGCTGGAGTGCAGAGTGACTCAGATCCTATTATTTGTGGCACATGACTGTGAGGAAACAGCCTCTGATGTTTTATTGGTAGGCATACTCACAACAGTAAATGAAATAATTTTGGCCACTTTTTTTATTATCACAGCCATATAAAAGTTATGTCTTTACAACAACTGAAATGTGGATTAAGTTGTTTATTTGTAGCAACACTCCACCCAGCCTTGCTAGTTTTGCAGGTTAGAGCTTGGTTACTAAGGATTTCACTGAGAAGTTTTCAAGCTCTACAGACATGAGTTATTGTCAAGTATTCCCAATTTCATATATTTTAGTGTTGCCATATGGTAGTTGTGAATTACCGCAGTTTTAATTTTATATAACAATGGAGCCAAATAGAAAAGTAGCTGCTGACTGAAGGTTTGGTGGAAACTTTCCGCAGCATATGATAATATGGGTATACCATCTGTCTGTGGTATTTAAGACTACAAATGAACAAAGCTAGAAATTATGTACACGTTTTATTTTTATAGTATTTATTATATACTCATATCCACTGTAACTCACTAAAGGCCATACCCAGAATTAATCACAAATATAATGGTTTTCAGTGAACTCACTGGCAGGGAGAAAAAGAATGATGAGAATAATAAGGGCACAAGAGACTGATATCTAAAGGGCAGAGCACTGAGAATGCGCAGAAGTAACTTTCACTTTAAGTTAACATCCAGGAGGAGGCTGCAGTAGATAAACCGGAGCTGTCTGTCTACAGAGTGGTTTTAGCGGGTTTGTATTACAGCAGTAGCTGCCTGTGGTCCTGACTCTGCCCTCTGGTCTGCGGAAATCTGCAGGACACGCGGGGCTTCAAGCTCCGTTGAGGCGGTGCTAAACCGGAACCGCAGAGTTTACTTGAAAGCTCAACGAGCCAATGGCAGCACTAGAAGAGCTCTCCTCGCCTGTCCTTTCGGTTTTTTACACACTTCTAAGTTCCATACCAAAGCTATCTCAGCAGCTTCAAACTAACGCACAATGAGTTGTTACTAAGGCAATACATGATGTACCTCGAGCCTTTCGTCGGCTCTCCTGGTCTCCGACAGTTGGAGGCTTCTCCATCGAGTTTAAGATTGAGCCTAGGAGGTCCGCCATCTTGGAATGATAGGGCAGACGGTCCAGACTGTTGTTGTTGGCTGCAGCTGTACGGGTTGCGCAGGCGCAGAAAAGTCCACAGTTTTCTTCGCGTGTTGAAAAAGTGCAAATAAAAACATCTATTGCCACCCCCTGTACCGGAAGGTTATATCGCTATGCTGCTATGTAGGATATACACAATGTTACATATTCTGTTTAATGTTCTGATTAATTAAATAAGTTACAATACAATATAAAATCACATAGTGCAATCATATCTATCTATCTATCTATCTATCTATCTATCTATCTATCTATCTATCTATCTATCCGAAGGATTAATACAGAAACCTCAAAGTAAGTGTTTTTAAATGGAGAGGGGGGTCTACAGGGCTCCACCTCTTTCTTGGCCTTTGGAGACTCAATACTTTTGATCTTTAGGAGTATCATAGTGGTGGGCTTCAAATCAGGGCATCAAATACATCCTTCCAGTAATTTCTGAACTTTGGACATGCCCAGAAACTACAAAGCTCATTCTGACAATTCCAGCTGTGGGGTTTGTGGTAGGAGACAACTGATTGAATGAGTTTTTGCTCCTCCTCAGGAAAATGTTTTTTAAATTTGGAAAGTTGCTGAGTGCCCTGTACTTTATTCTGTAATGCTGTTAAGCTCCTCACTCTCAGTTGTTTTCTGGTTTTTCCCAGACCAAATGTGGCAAAAAGACAGTGTTGAAAACACAATTTAGACTGATAAAACACAGATTAGATCATGATTTATTCCTTTAAGGTGGTTTATCTGTACATGTACGTGTGTGTTAAGAGAGAATAAACAAGCAAACTAACATCTTTACATAAGCACTAGGGGGCATGCTATACAAATACATGTCCATTAGTCCATGCCTTGTGTTGTTATTGTTTTGTTAACAATCCACCCCTGCGTCACTGGAGCAGTGTGTTTTGTGCAGTTTGATTGTAGTTTCACAGCATCAGCAATAACACATGAACTACTGCCATATTCAGATGTGGGCAGAGCAGTGGACGAACAGAGGGCAGCCCTGAAAACACTGTAGGGCAGAATTGTACTGCTTACTGTGTCTAAAAAAACAGATTAGTAAATTCTTCACCTGTAATTATAGCTTTTGGAGTCCTTTGTGGTCAGTGTTTATTCCTCTGTCCAGCCATAGGGGTGTATGTAAGTACAAAACCAAAGAACTGTCCCTTTTCACTTAGATGTCTGTGTTGGTGAACAGTACAGAGCATTTGTATCTCTAAATCACATTGACAGGAAATTACCGCAGCCGATGATTCTTTGTAAAATACCTAAAAGCAACCTCATATTCTCAAGAAGGTGCAGCTGTTGACTAAGCTGAGTAAGCTGATAGTCCTGACCCTCAGCCCTCAGACTCCCATCATTCAGCGATACTTTGTTATTGTGATTTGGACAGAGCACGACGGACTCCTCCCCCGTGGTTGAAATGCTGTATAAATGCAGCATCAGCCTGTCAACTGCAGTGTCTGAAAGCTTATTGGTACCCAAACATGAGGGGACTGAGCTTGGTTCTCCTTGTGCTTCTCCTGATGCTCGCAGTCGGGGAGGGTAAGCAATGGATACACCCATTTTCTTACTGTGTGAGATCAAATCAAGCAAATCACTGTACTCATATGGGGCCTGTTTGTGTGACTCTGAGGAGAAGTAAAACAAATTATGAAATCACAATGTGCCAGTCTTAACCATCAAGTAATTTAAAAATGTTTAACTTAAAAGATTTACTGTGATTACAGTTTATGAAACTATTACAAAAAGTTAAGTAAATGTTCATTGGGAATATGGGAACATATTTGTAATTCTTTTCTGATTATCTACAGGCAATGATCCAGAAATGCAGTACTGGACATGTGGGTATAGAGGACTCTGCAGACGGTTCTGCTATGCTCAGGAGTACATCGTTGGTCATCATGGTTGCCCTCGAAGATACAGGTAGGCCTGCTAAGATCATAATGTGGAGGTGCCTACAACTTTGTAATATTTGTTCTCCTATTACGAAGACAACGCTGTATGAGCTTCATCAAAACAAATACATGTGTTCTACAGAAGGCAAAGAGAAATTATTGCTAATTGTGATTTTCCCTTTAAGTTGTACTGTGCTCATTTTCAGGTGCTGTGCTGTGCGGTCTTAGCACCGGCCATCTAATGACTTCTGCAAGATGTCCCAGATCGAGGGCTGACATCTTCAGTTCAGGTAGCTGGGATCCTGGTAACTGACACAGCATTCTCCTGGATAAACCATTTTGACAACTTCACTCTCAGTCAGTCCCTCTTGGACCCCTATCATTCTGTGGGATCTAACAATGAGTGCTTTTCATGAGGTGTGCCCCTGCAATCATGTTGCTCATATTGTTCCCTGAAATATGGTGTGACTGATCTTGTACCTCACGTTTAATGATGTTTCATAATCAAGCCTTTGTGTACAGTGGGTTCCTCTCTCTGAAATGCAGTGTTGCCAATAAATGCATGAAAATAAATGCACTGATGTTTGGTTTGTTGCTGTTTAATAAGGGTGATCATCACTATCAGCTTTAATTATATTGTCCTAAATATTATGCAAAGTAATGCATTCACTTTAAAACTGAAAAACATCTAAAATATAGTGTCTATATACAGCCCATTATCCACTTGGCTTGACCTTGGGGAAATAACAGCATGGAAAGCAGTCTGAGTTGAGTCTGGCATGCTGTCGCTCAGCGCTGTACTGACAGGAGACAATAATGGTCAAGTGACTGACCTAAATAACTGTGATGGAATAGAGCTTTTGTGAATGAAGTGTTATGTCTCTTGTCTGTGTTTATGTTATCTCACCATTCTGTCTGTCTGGACAACACTGTCTGGAACAGACGGACAACGTCACAATGCACCAGTCACGATTGCAAAGCAAATTCATTGTCTTAATGTCTGCCTATCTCAGATCATCGTAAGGTCAAATGTCTTTGCTGATGAACTTTGGCTTTGTACTTTTATTTTTATTTTTTTATGAAGCAATATAACTGTCAGCTGAAAACAAATTCACTCATCTTAGTTTGAGATACACCATTACTGGACGACAAAAGGCCTGTCATAATGAATTATAAAATACTAAACATCTAGTAACCAACTCAGTGTGTGAGTCAATCGTTTTATTATCCATCTGATTACTAGATGTTGCACCAGAGTTAACTGAGCCAGGATCTGAAGAAGGTTTGGTGACCGGCCCGGGCTGGTAGGTGTTAAAGGCATGGATGCTATTTGTAAACAGGAGCCACTGTATTGTGCCCTGCATTGTCATCTGGGTTGAATCTTTGTACTATTCAGACAGCGCAGCGTGACCAAACTACAAAGGGGTAAAACCCCACAAACCTGTTTACACGAGGCTGTCTGTCTTCACAAAGCTGACAGCAAGCAACAGCTTAAAACAGAAAATGATCACAGGGTGGGTGTATTTTTGAACTGTAACTGTATAGACCTGTGTTACTGTAGGGAAATCAGGGTTTGGAGATGTTGTAATCACATAGACATACATGGAAACTCTGATGTTCAACATGCCCAAGTAAATTGAGTCCTGGTTTTTGGTTTTCTGATTAATTTATCAAAATAAAATAGTGACTTTAGATAGAAATTAAACAACTAGGAGAAGAAATCAAAGAGCTGATGTTTGTTTTTAACAATGCACATTTCAATGGTGTCTTTATTGCTAAGTATATGTGAATATACTGAATGTTAATCTCATAGAAATGTGGGCCCAAACTTGATTGCTTTCAGTAAACATTAAAAACATGGCATCATCATGATTCATGTAAAAGCATCGAGGATAATTCTGACTTGTCTCCATTATAAAGAGTAAATTTAGTGTGTACATTATAAATGTACCATTTGAGCAATTATGCATGTAATCCTATCATGTGAGAAAGTTTTCCTCTGCTTTGGTGTTGAAAGGCAGTTCTGAGACTAAAGTGATTTTTATTGACAGTAAGTGAGTACAATAAAATGGCCTCTACCTCACTAGATGGCAGTGTGTGAAAAAAATCCTTCAGCTTCCAATAATGTTACTGTGCTCTGGTAAAGTGTAATGGTAATGTTGGGTGAAAACAAACTAGATTTTTTTCTCAGGTCAGATGTTTTGTGGTCTCTGTGTAGCAGTCTCTTAAAAGAAAAACTTGTGCTTTGCTACATCCATCATTTCCTCAGACTTGACCAGTCTCTCACACACCCTGCGTTTAAGAAGCACCTCTCAGGATGCTGACAGCACCAGAGGGATTATCCAGGTGGTCAGCAATGCCTGACATTCATTTGAAGTAGTCCTTGACATTCAGGCTGGAGTTTAACTTCTGTGGAATCGAAGAAGAATTCCACCCCCATGTTCTTAGGTCCCATTAAATACCATTATACAAGCTCTATGTAGAATGTCATAAGCCTTTTACTTTTACAACCATACAGGCCTGATCGACGGAGCACTGCAGACGGGGGTGTTCCTTGAAGTGTGTTCGCCTGAGGAGGATCTCTGAAGCTCTGTTAGAGTGCACCTTTGGGTTTTCTGTCACTTCAAATGTGTCTTCACCCTTCCTTGAGTCTGTTCCTCACTACAATTTTCTGAGCTGACTTCATGGTTTGGTTTTTGCTCTGACATGAATCTTGAACTGTGTCATCTTTCATACAACATGCTGAAGGGCAGGGAGTTTGAAGAGAAATTGTAAGGATGAAACAACATGTCTCTGAGGTCAGTTTAGAGCATCACAGCAAATGGTCTGAAATCATGTACATGAGATATTGCTGTAAATGGACAAAGATTATGTGCAGGCTAAATAATAATACACCTGAAAATCGACAACAACCAGAAGTAGAAAAGTATAAAAATAAAGATGAGTGAACACTCACTGGTGGCCATTGTACCACATAACAGAAGTAACACCTGTACAATATTATGCAATTCACTAAATAGCCCTGTAATAGACACTATCACTGGGATGCTGTTGTACTGCAATACCTGGCAGTAC